CCAAGGAAGCTGCCAAATTGAGTCTGCGATTCTGGGTGAGAAGACTGAATACTAGTGGAAAGGATGGCGTTCTAAGGAACTATATTGCTTATTTTCATGACAGATGTGGTTTCCCTCTTGGCTCAAGACAACTAGCTCTGGTTGAGTAAGCCTTTATTATACCTAAGCAGGAAATGCACATGTTCTCCAGGTGCCTCCAGGACAATGGATCAGACCCATCTCACCATGTGGATCTTGATCCCCGAGTTTTGTTAACATGTTTCCCTCCCAGGTAGCCTCTCTTCCCCTACTCCCTTCTTTTCCTTTTATTCCTCCTCAAAAGGCCATCATCACACTTCAGTTCTACCAAGGGCTGGGAAATTCCAGATATAGGTCAAAGCAGAGCTGAAGTTGTGTCAAAGCCGTTCTTCGTAGCAGAAAGTGGAGGACAATAGAGCAGCATCCATCTGAAGCTGGGAGCTTGGTACTTTTGTAGTGATCAAAGGTAACCCCTGTCTCACAGTTCCTCTTCCAGGGCCTTCTGGCAGATGGTGGTAGCTATGAGACAGACATGTTTCAAAGAACAGGAAACATTCCTACATCATGACTGGCCCAAGGTTTCAGGGGTACATTCGTGAAACCTTTCTAAATTATTAATTTGGGCCCCAACATGAAACAATTCAGATGGCCTGAGAGACTGTGCTGACAACTAATAGAGAAACAGCTTAGCTAAAAGGAAAGGAACACAGCCAGCATCCAAAGTCCTTCTAACCACAGTCTGACACCGGACAGGCCCTGAAGCTAAAATTTTTCTTCTAACCTATTAAAAAAATACATCTGCATTAGTGAGATTAGATATAGGATATTTGGCAAATCTGTGCTAATTCCTGGAACATCAAAAGGAAACCAATGCCAGGATCAGTAATGTGACTGGGGTCACAGAGACATGCGGTTGCAAAGGACTTCGAGAGATCACACATGACAACCCAACATATGGAGGCAGGAACTATACACACCACACTGCTCCTTCCTCCAGCAGCGGCTATCCAACGTCATCTTTGAAAATTCTCCACCACCTTCACATAACTGCAGCTCGCTCCAGCACTTCATCTGTGCTCTGTGAGAAGCCTTCTCTCTTTTCCAATACAAATCAGCTCTGCTGAAAATTCATTTATTTCTTCTTGTTTTCCCGTAGCAGGCATGCTGTTGCTGATTACACGATCATTATTAATTTGCGTTTAAGAAAAAAGGTCTAAGGTCTATTAGAGTGGTAGGATGAATCCCAAGCTGCCTTCCTATCTGCCAGTTCCCAAAATGACAAGTAGCCTTTAAAGAATGTCACAAACAGCAAATATATTTTCTCTTTTCTGGGCTGACCAGATAATTTAAATCTAATGTCAAGGCAGATCTTCTAAGAACATAAAGGTCGATGAACTAGCCATACTAGAGGCAGGGAAGAAGGAAAAAAAAAGATTAACTTAACTTGAAGAGCCAGAGATTTCCCAGAAAGCTGACTCTGGTTTACTGAGTTGCAGTCACTTATCAATTATACCTTTAGCAGAAGCATAAGAAGCCTAAGCCTGAACCAGTTACATTACAAATGTATGAAAGATACTAATGTTTTTCATAAATCTGAGCAATTTTTAATTTTTTTTTTTTTTAGGTTCTAGCCCACTTACTTATTTACATGCAAGAAGTCCAATTGTCAAAATTATTCTACAATGCTGGTGCATCTGATTCCGGGTACGTCCAAGCACCTCCCCATCCTTAACAGAGTCTTCCACATTATGCCCCCGGGAGGGAAATGCGACCATTACCATTTTTCTCCTGAGGCAAGAACAATTGAGGTCACCCAGTAACCAGCAGCATCTTGGAGTTTCAAATCCCACGCAAGCCTCATCACTGGAAACATCATCTGAAGGAAGTAAGTCACTGTTAGAAAGCTGTCACAGCACACTCGGACGGCAGCAGCAGAACATCAAGGAGCATGGACACATCACAAGCCAAACACAAACAGCAAAGGCTGCCCATCAGTGAATATTTTGAAGGTTCCTGCAACGTGAGAGACTCTTCCCCATCAGCAATTGCAGTTATTGCAATTATTGCTCCAGACTTTTCGGAGGGACTTGAAGAGAACCTCAGCTTTGAAAGAGAGCACCAGAGGCAAGTAAATTGATTCCATACTAAATACAGTTTCCATGGAGAACAACAGATTTCATCCCCTACAATCTTGTAACCAAACTGTATCATTGCTGCCAGCCAAGCTAGCATAAGCTCAATGCTGCCGTCAGCAGAGCCAACAAACTGCTACAGGTAGGATTTGACCTTTGAGTTGAACAACGCTGTTGCTGATTTACAGCTGAAAGTCCATCTTCTTTGCTCCTTGCAGCTGTGTCGACCAGGCAGAGATTAAAGTGGCTACTTAAAAGCCACATTATTTCACTTTCACAGAGTGCAGAGCACAGGGCCACCTCATCTCTTGACAGAGCTTGCCCCCAGCTATGGTAGCCGTGCTCGCACTTCCTCCAGCTGCGAGCGGTGACTCACCAAACCGAAGCGCCTACCAGCAAACCAAGCTACCAGGACTGCTGACTTTTCAGCAGAGATAAACAGGTCAACATACACTGCTTTAAAACCCATATCTCATTTTAATTAAGACTAGACACTTCCACCTAGTTTCAAACTGTAATTACTGTCGAGCTTATTAGGGCAGACAACAGCGTACCGCTCGACACGAGGTGTGGCCGGCAGTTCACCCTCCACCCACACAGGGTATCATCTCGTGTACTTCCTCCTGGGGCTGTTCCCACTGCAGGGTTCATGCAGTTGGTGGCTCAACTCTGCCCTCGTTAGCAATTCATTTACGTGTCACCCATGCTACATGGGAACACGGTGGGGAAGAGTCATCTAGTCCGTGCTGCGGTTAGCTCCTGCTCACCAAACACACTGGGGGACATACCTGTCCTCTGCCCGCACAGGGGAAGTGGGACACTGGGGAGATTTCTGCACAGCCTGTGTACTTTTATAGCAGGAACTGCTAAACCAAAGAAAAAGCTGCCTATGAAACCCATCTATACAGCCCCCCAAAACAGCTAGCGCAGGTTCAAAGCAAGATGATGCCATCACACCTATCTTACGAAGGACACCACTCAACCATTTGTACAGCAGCAGCTGAGCTCACTCTCAGCACCAAGGCTTTTGAAAGTTAACAGCCTTAAACATGAACCTTACGTGCTTCCCTAAAACCCCCAACCCAGACTACGCTGGACTGTCACTTTGAAACAAACCAGCGGTGTAAAGTCATAGGGAGCCCCTGGATCCATTTGCATTTACTTCCCAGGCTCCAAGGGGGAACAGGAAGCAGCTTGCTCCGTTACGCTGAGTGCCCTACGGAATCGGGAGTATTATTGCTCAATTACAACTTCTTCCAAACTGCGTGAGAAATCGGACTCAGCCAGCAATCAACCCACTCGTTGCATCTCAAAGCCGACCAGTCCTAATGTGTCAGCTACCGCCCTCACTCGCACGCTGACACCAGTCAGAACATGGGCATGCTTCACCCCCAGCCTTCCAGCAAGGAGGTTAAGGGAAGCACACATTTCATCCGGGATCTCGCAGAAGGGGAGTCTGCCCTCCTTCTTTGTCATTTTCCTCTGGAGATGGAAACTACTCAGTTTGTGAGGAAAGCGTGAGCAGGAAGAAGAAACAGCATAGGAACCTACCTTCAAGGTAAGGCTAACGCTGTTTTAGCTGGAGGAGTGGTGGCAAGCATGCTAGGAGCTTTTACCTGTTGACACAATCACTGAGGACTGAAGGTACTAAGGTAGCAAGTTTTCCTAAAGTTTAAATCACCTTTTACATTAACACGTGGTTTTAGTTCAAATTCAGTATTACAGGTCAGTACCAACACTAAGTTCTGAGGAAAATGCACTTTTTGTTACAGGGCCCAGATGACAATCATTGACTTGGCAAACTCCAGGCTTTTACTGAGCATTTCAGATAATTGTTATCAAATAGCTTTGGGGGCTCTCAGCTGAAAGGTCTTCTAGAAAAATCTTCCACCTCTCCCGCAACAGAGCTCCAAGAGCATTTACTCTGCTGGCATGGTAGAAAGATGCCAGTTCTGGATTACTATGGTGGAGAGCAGCTACAGAGATGCTGTAAGATGGTGTCAGGACTCAGCCATCTTCACACACACAAAAGCCTATATGAAAAATAAGAACATTAAAGACTTGGACAAGACAAACACAGGTACTTCTTTTGAACAAAGCTTCATCATTCTGGCCTGTGGGGAGAGGCACCATCGCTGCTTTGAACAGGCTCCCCAGCTCACAGGGGAGTCCCTGCCTTGCACAGGAAGGTAATGCACAGCCCTTGCCCCCCATCCCCCTCTATTCAGAGCACCTGAGACTGCGAGTTTTACACCCAGGCTGTTTCCCCGAGCCGGAAGGAGTCATTCACAACAACTCAGATGTGGTTACTACGTGTAGAATAACCAGTACCTCAGAAAAGAAAAAAAAAACAAAGGCAGCTTGTCAGTTCAGCCCACTTCACAAGAAGAAATCGAGCACAGACTAGTCACCCCAGTTTGGTAATACAGGTATCTATTTTATTAAAAAAGTTACAAACAGGTGGACTGTAGGGTTGTCTTACAAAATGACAAGAATGAATTCTACTGGAAAAAACTTTTTACAAAGCATTATAGGTAATTGTTCCATTTTTGCACTTGTTATTCCAGATTTCACCTATCACTGATAAAGATACAGTACATTAGATACATGATGTTAGGTTACATTTTTATTTGTAGAGCCCTACTGCAGTGATTTGAACAACTCCTAAACAGATGCCATAGTAAAGACAATACATATTGCATTTATTATTAGCCTCTTACTCTAATAAGCAACTTCACATGCAATCTATTGAGGAAGCCTAAAATAACTTTTGGTCCCTTTTTCCCCCCAAAGTGTGCTGAAGAAACCATCTCTCGTTTTCCCCGTCCTGTCACTCTAAGCTAGTTCAAGTTTTTTTAAATTTTTTTTTTTTTTTTGCGCTGAGGTCAATGAAAATGAACACTGGTTTGATAACTACCCATAGGAATGAACCACTGATTAATATTAACCAACTTTTTCCCCCTTAGACAAAGGAAAACTAAGATCTTTATGAATTACTTTTATTTCCTATTAATTCCTTACAACCTACAAAAAAGATCAACAACCACCACTTTAAAAAAAAAAACTACTTTGAATACAAGGTTTGGTTTAATTCTGATATTAAAGTGCAAACCTAAATATTAGCCTCAGCCTGTTTATAAAGTTTGTACAAACAGAGGGGGGGGGGGAAAATTCAAGCAACACGACAGGAAAAAAAAAATCAGGTGTTTCAATACCCAAGCAGAAAACCTGGTGCACTCTTCTTTTCAGGATTCAAATTCAACACTGAATGTAGACTCAGAATCTTTATTTCTGCTAACACTGTAAAGTCAGCCTGCAGTATTACCAATAAAAGACATTAATGTTGAGATACTGTACCGGTGATCTTTTATTCTTTTAAATGCCATCATCCATAATACAATTCGTGAGTTTTAAACTGCTTAACCTCATATATCCATCACTGCTTTTACTGGAGCTTTTCTCAAAGTTATTTAGCTATTACAGGGAAAAAATGTACATTTCTAGAAGCATGTTCAAATGACTAAAGCTGGGCTCCTAAAAACCTAGAACTTTGGTGCAGTAGGTGAGCTGCAGTTATTAAATTTCTGCAAAAAAAATTACACATTTTAAACCACTGCTAGAAAAAGCTCTCATGTATGCAACATGTTAATAAAACTGAACAAAAAGATTTCATCTGTTCTTTGTACAATTTCATTCTGCTCTTTATACCTGTGTTATTGTTAAAATTTTCAAGTATTCAGAGAAAATGTTGATCAGGTAAACAATAAGGAAGGCAATGGCTGTTTAAAGCACACTTGCAGTTAGTATCACTGAAACCTGGTGCTTTTCCCCTTGTTACACCAACTTGTCTCTAATATTAAACTTGTTTATTGGGAAAAAAAACAACAACTAAAAAGCAATTTGTGACAGTGCAAGAAAAACTTTAACAAATATTGCTTTAAAATATTATTCAGAAAGACAAATATTAGGAACTATAAAATGTAAAGTGATCTTATTTGCATTAGATTTACATGTGCAGAGGTCTACTAGATGTCTCTTTAATGTGCCAGGCAAAGCTGAGCTGACTGACTAGGCATACAGCCCATTTTGAAGGATACATTATCCCTTTTCAAAGGCATAAAGAAGCTATTTGTAAACAAGCAAGTTCAGAAACTCAGTAGAAGGAAGTGCGTGCTGCCATTTTGCAATGCTACAATTGTCATTTTTGATTAAACGAGTTTAAGAAACCCACGATTGCAAGAAAAGAAACATCAGCTGGAGACTTTACATGTCATTCCAAGTAAACCCTATTGTCAAATCAGACCAGTTACAAACACAAGATCACAGCTGCATTTGCCAAGAAAAGGGATACTACATCCATACAAGAGGTGCCTTCAGTATCTTTTCATGACACTGTCACACGTAAACAAGAAGTCTCAAAGAATGACCAACTACATTGTAGGAGAAAACTTTGCAAATAGAAATAAGCACTGATGCGAGGTAATATACAGAAGTAACCATTTGTTTAAGGCTCAATTTATTCTCCATTAAAACTCTCTTCTTTTAAAAGGCATTGAGTAGGTAATACTGAGTTTAAGTATTTAATAAATACAAGTTCAGAAATTGATTAAAGAAATCAATTAAAATATTAAAAATGAACTCTTGCATATTAGCCATTATATGAACTTAGAAAGCTATAAAAGGACTGATAGATAAAGAACAGATTTTTAAATGTATGGTAAACATGCTAAGCATTTTGATTAAGGTGTGTGGATCCTGGAGGCCACCAACCTTATGCACTTAGATGTATGGCAATGTGCTGTAATAGAGACAGGTTTACCAAGGCTCAGCTCTGCAACCTGGGCTGAAAGTTCTCCAAAGCAGCATCTGTGCAAGTTTCCTCTGAGTTTTATCTGCAATTTAAACAAAATAACTAATGAAAGCCATATTCAATACACATTCAAAGTGAACTCAGCTTCTCCCACAGTGCAAAACAGCTAGTTTTCCATACTGGGCTCTGAAGCACTGCTTTACACAGCAGCATCCTTGAAGTTCTCCTCTTCTAATTCTGATAATACAAGAGGCAAGCAGGTAACAACTTACCGCTGTGAACTTCGTATCAGCTGCCCCTGGGATACTGAATTGCTACTAAAGACCTGAAACAGCTACGAAATTTACATTCTCCTACATACACTAGGCTTTGCACTGGTGTTGAGGAGGCACTACATCACCCAGCAACACGAACCAATGGCATTTTGCACAAGTTCTGGGGACAGGTAGATGAGCCAACTAATCCAGTTTTGACATCTGAGTTCTCAGCATTCAGATCCTCTAAACTCCTACTATAAAAATAAACCCTTAGGATTCATCAGACAGCCTCAGCAGGGACAGAACTGTATGCCACTGTTCTCAATCAAGCACACAAGTGTAAGTAGTGTTACCAATGTGACCAATAAATCTTTGTATTTCTGATAACTTGCTTGCACTTCATAAGATCTGCAGAGGTACTCTAAAAGCCTCAGTCAAAGCTCAAAGTGTGTCCTTCATATGCACACACATGCACTTCACAGAAGCTTGACACTTGGCTTTTCAGGGATTTTGATGAGTCTTCTCTATTCTTGAAGTCATTTTTTCCATAGGAGTTGGGGCCTTATGTTTCCTACTGTACTGTTTCTTTTCAGCTTTTGATCTGCTCTCGATTAACAGGTTGTTGCTAGAGAATGCTCTAACATAGTCAGGGTCCCCCTTCTTGCCTAACAACTGCTCACCCCCAACATTCAGGAGCAGTACTCCTGTGCTGACAAGATCAAACAGTTAGGTTTTGCTTGCTTGCTTCTTTGTTTTCCAACTAACAGTAACTGTTACCCAGTCTGGTGAGCATGTGTCCCCCGAACACTGTTACTGGTCCACGAGTTTTAGATGGGGAGGGTCCCTGTACTGCCCAAAGAGCAAACTAATGCTTAGCTTCTAGCAGGGATGGATTAGACCTGTTTAATAGGTGTTTTATCTTTGCTTAGAGCACAGGAAAGGCAAACTACTTACACTGCAGCTCCATCCCAAAACTTCAGCTAAATCCAGCATCCAGTGCTGTGGCTAGCAAAGAATTGCTGGGAATAGTAAGAACAGAGAAAACAAGCAATGGCATTTTCCTTTCCACCACATGCTCTTTCAGCATCCCTGTCTTTGCAGGTTAGAGACCTCCCCATTCAGATTTGTCATCTTGCCGTTTAACTTGTGTTTAGTTACTACAATTAGCACCATATAGTACCTTATCTGGCTTCACTCGCCCATGAAATTTCTATAGCACTCTCTATTCTCTTCTGCGAGCAGGCAGGAGAGGGGGATGTTAGGCAACACAGTAGGATAAATTTGTCCAAGTTGCATAGACACACAGACCAGAAGACAGAACTGAATGCTTTCAGTTTTTATCCCTAGAGCAGAGTACTCTTCCTTCAGCACTTGCTAGTATCAGTTAGTCATGAATGGAGGGGACAGAAATCACTAATCAACATCAGTTTTTCACCCCAATATTAAGGTGTTCCCAATCCAATTAGTACCTCTACAGAAAACCTTTAATGCACCAGCAGTGTAACAAGTGCCATATTTTAAAGAAGATTTAAAATACGAAACACTGACATACTAAAAATTCAAGAGAAGTACTAGAACAAGGAACAGAGAGCAGCTACTGGAAATCTCACATCTCTGAATGCAATAATGAAATGACAGAAGACCACTGCAGAAGCAGGAAAGGGGAGGGTGGGGAAAACAGGATGCAAGAACAACACACATTTTTAAAAGGAACTACGGGTTATCCTGATTATGTAGTTACATTCCATCCTTCATTTCAGCCGAGGTGGCTGACTGGAACAGTAACTTAAGCAAATGCTACTCAAAAATGTTGTGAAAGAACCTACACAACATCATACTTGACAGACAGGTTGGGGTATCAGTACCAAAAAGAGGTAAGTAGTACCTACTAGTTAAAACTGACACTGAAACAGCCTTAGATAAAACCAGGTCCAGCATATACTCCACCTCCCATCCCTCCCCTCCATCAGAACTGTAGAGACACAAACTGTTTCTACATACTTCATTCTGAACTAACTGATCCAGACCTAAGACTCCTCCTGGACACAGACAGGTCACAGAACTCAGAGACAATGAAGATTATGCTAGGACAAAGCTATAGTTCAAGCCCACTTCCTACACGTAGGTTTTCAGACAGCTGGTTCCTCTTCCTCAGTTTCACTTTACCTAGGAGGGGTCACTGCTAAAGCAGATGTTTGAGAAGCAGCAATTGTTCCCTGGATCACAGATAAGCCCAGGAATTATAAAGCTGGTTATAGCTATCACAAGACACCATCAGCAGCTCCCCTGCACATCAGACAGAAATTATCAGGCAGCAAAGGCTTATCATAAACTTAATGAGATCCTTACACCTACTCAAACAACAAGGACAGAGGTGGGAGCCAGGAAGAAGAAAATATCCCAAAAGTGTTCAGGCTGAAATGAAAGATATGGAGCATGAAGCCTGTGAAGAGCCAGGACAAGTAATAAGAAAAGAGGTTCCAGACATGGTGAGTTCTGGACTGAATAAGAAGCTGCTTAGGAAAGAAAGACTTGCTTGTTTGGCACAGGTGACAAGACTACATTGGGCACAAGCAGCATCTCCTAGAAGCGAAGTATTTTGCTGCTAGAGGCTTGATGTGACACTATGAGCTAGGCAGAATAAAGGAGAGGCAATCTGCATTACAAAAGCTTAGGATCCTCTATCTCAAGAGATCACAAAGACACAAGAATACAGAGGCTTCTTCTGAAGCAAGAGCAGGCTTAGGAAACTCATCAAATCTAGGCATAAGTTATGATTCAAAGGAATAACATACGGCCCTGCCCTCTGCCTCAATTTCACTTTTAAGATTAAACTTGATACTTAATGTTAAATCCAGAAGCAGCCAGATTACAAAGACGACTCACTTAGAAGTAACCAATTCTGGAAGTATAAATTTCATGGATAAAGGGACTGATTTTGCCAAAGTTGAAGACAGCAACCTGCACAAAATGAACCACTAGTAACCCAGGGGACTGCCATAACCTTTGGCATGATATTTCAAGTCCACGTACTCTTATTTGTGAAGCTGCCTTAGAAATAGCTGAAACATCGCATTACTGTAGGGGATTCAAGATATTAACCCTGCAGCACTCTGTTAAAAAAAGCAGTAATTCCTTTGATTTACTCTTTCCTATAACTCTATAAGGCTCTGCATGTGTTAGAGATTAGTGTACAAGGAAAGACTTTATTTGTATTTTTCCCTGCTCCAATACAAGCAGTTTGCTCACCTTTCAGCAAGCAAATCTTGAACTTAAACACACCTTTCACATGGTGACAGCAGCCTTTCTTTAGTTCACAGAACTGGAGATAAAAACATCACGTATTATCTTTAGTATGACAGTGCTAGGGTCACAAGTATCTACAGTTTTACATTCACAAAGTACTTGATAACAATCTGAAAGACAAGCTTTGAGACTTCACTCTCTGACCTTGTACTCAAGACCAAAGAGGATACACAGTCCAAAGCTGCCACTAATAACCTATTTTCCCTTTTGTCACTCAGACACAAAAAGCTCCTTTGACTCAAGCAAGAGTTACTAACATGGCAGTCAGAACCTAAGCCTCAATCAGTGCAGCTGTCAAGAGGAGCAGTTCCTTCCCTTGAATTTTCATGTACTCCCTCATCCCTGCACTTGCCCTCAGAGAACACATCAAGTTGTTTGCCAAGATAGGTCCAACAGACAACTGAATGTCTGATGGCCCAGCTGGCTGCATGCAGAGTGTACCAACGACACAGAAGAGCCCTTTTCAGTAACACGGATTCAAACTGATGGTGAAACCAGACCTGTAACAGCTACAAGGCAAAACAAGAGCAGTGGGGGTTCCAGAACCACCTCGCACAGGAACAACAGTGCTGCTGCGTGCAGGGGAACAGCAGATCCATTTACACAATCATGTCAAAAAGGTACTGAAAAAGACCATCACGTGTGTGAAGGGCCAAGAGCAGCTACCCTTGCGGAAAAAAGTAAAAATCAAAGCAATACCCAAGACAGGGGAAGCTTTATGGAGGCCCCTCTGAACACTGCGCTCTTGCCACACCTCTTATGAATCATGGGGAAGGGACAGAGTCGTGCACTGGGAAGCCATTTTATAGTGTGTTCTCTGCACTGGAGATTTTAGATGAAGAGCACTTTGCGCAAGTCCTTGGCTAGTACATGTGGGCTTCAAGAACTGCTCACAACTCAGGGTGGTTCTCTTTTAAACTTACTCCACTGACAAGGCAGAATTGTACTCTAAGCACATTCAGTTTCTGTACCATAGAATTTTTTAGTTTTTTTAAACAAGCTCAAGGTCTTCTCAGCAAAACTATTGGGAAACTTGGTCACAATAATGCCACTGAACTCCAAGGTAATTCCCATTACTTGAAAATAATTCAAATACCAACTACAACCAATGAAGAAACCCACTGCAACATCACAAAACATGATTAAGGATAATGTAATGTCAAATACAGCACTGACAGTCAAAATAGGTGCAGATGAGATCATACTTTGTCTTGCTGTGAAATTGCTGAAAGTAAATGCAGTGTTCCCTGACTAGCCCTACTGAAGTAACACAAGAAGTCCATATGACTCAAGCAATCATATGCAACAAAACGAAGCTTCCATCTTTTTGGAAGAAAGCTACTTCCAGGTGAGACTATTGTTTTTCAGACTCCCTATCACAATTTATCTGCTTACTTAAACAGCATGCTTATGCACCTCAATTAGTTATGACTGTTCCACCAACCTGCTCTGTATGGCCATGATTGAGGTTTTTCTTAATTTCTCTCACTGGACGATGCAAGTTGTACAACACTGATCTTGTTTTTCAGGCAGGGAGGCATAGTTCATTTGCCTGACGATCTCAGCAAACAGTTCATCCACCATTGTTTTGCTCTTGGCTGAGGTCTCCATGAAGGGACAGCCCCACTCCTGAGCCAGGGCTCTGCCTTCTGCAGACAAGACCTCCCTCTCCGACTCCAGATCCACTTTATTCCCCACTAGGATCAGAGGAACCTTCTCGTATCTCTTCACCCGGACAATCTGGTCCCTCATCGGCTTGATGTCCTGATCAAACAATCCAACTGGTTAGTACATGTAAGCAATATGAAATTGCTATACTACAGAAGCACATTTCAGTAACCCGCACATGCAACTGAATATTCAAAATACATCAGAAGCCTTTTAAATTCATGCAGATCTAGAACTCAGAGGAATTTCGCTACCCATCTTCAATAAATACTGTTTTTTTTATTTTATAGAAATGCATACACATTTTATAAAATGTATGCATATATACAAACAGAAAGTGACTAAGAGAAACTTTTGATTCAGGTAGAGGAAGATAGAGTACAGCTGCTCTGAAAGTTGATTTCAGTTTTCTGGAAAAAACTGTCTCAAGTCTAACGACCTGTAACATTAGCAGTAGCATGCCATTACACAATCATTTAGGAAGCTTGTGTTTAGTTTACAGCTTGAGAAAGCTAGTAATTTAAATAAAGTCTTCTCACTTCTGGAATGCTTAGAATAATTCATTGCAAACACACTTAATCACATGTAAGTGACCAAATTAGAAGCTGTAAAGAGATTTTATTACCTAGAGATGCATTTATTCAAGTCTGAGCTAACATCGGGAGTTTACACTTGAAAGTCTGAGTCAGTCTCCTCTGCCCCCTGAGTGTTTTAAGTTACTATCAGTAGTACTAAGTTCTACAAATTCTTGCATAGTTCCAAGACAAAGCAATTTAAGCTTTTGAAGTTACCACTGTGTAAAAGAACTGCAGAGAGTAGTTTACACCTACAAGCTTCAGAGTAAACACGCTACAGACAATTAAATATTAACAGGGTGAATTACTAACTCCATGCCCATTCCTCGAATACTTGGGGGTCCCCAAAATAAGCAAAAAAAGATGGGAGAAGTATCCCAATGTCACCACTGCTGTTTTCCAAAGAAAGTATGCCTTCAGCTTGTACTCAGGATACACTGAGGCCTCTGCTAAGATAAAGTTTAGCCTTCAGCATAAGCAAACACCCTGCTTCAGTGGGGGTGTACAAGGTTTTGCCTGGCAGCTGGAATACACCCAACTCAGCAACTGAAGCCAACGCAGTAGTTGCATATCCCTGTGCTGCATGCAGGGCTTGCTAAATCCATTTATTCCCCACAAATAAAGCATCACTTCTAGAGGCAGCTTAGACCAGCTACCGGCTTGAGATATTTCCTTTTTTTTTTTATTTGAGAGTCTTCATAGTAGAAATAAAATCCAGACCCACGAATTATCACATATGGCTTGCTTCTCCTCTCCATTACACCACCTACGCTGGGAAAGCATCGAGCTTATGCTAGGCAGGAATATATTTTGGGGGGGAGGGGGTGGAAAACAGCAGCTTACTTAACAAGTCACAGCTGCAAAACAATAAGACTCTCTTCAAGCCCAACTGACAAAACAGGGCTTTTAATAAGGAGAGGGCAAAAGGGAAGTCCTCATCTTAATATCGAGTGATTTCTTCATAAAAGGGGATTGCCAAAAGATTTCTGTTGGGGAAGTGAGAGCGGGTCATTGTTCTCCAGCACTGCGTGGGATTTAACAATGGTGGCACCCTGATAAGTACCTGCAAAGTAAGCAGTTTTCCATCAAGGATGCAGGGCTGGTAAACGCACTTTCCAGCGGGGCATTTTCACTTTGGCCCCTCCGGAGATCAAGAGCTTACAGGCACACATGGCTAACCCTATAACTTCCTCCTCGGTCCAGAGCCTTCTCCAGGGCAGGAACGGCTGCGCCGAGGAGGGGACGCCGGGG